TCCACAACATCAGGTTTATTTTTTAAGGATTCTAGATTATTTTTTCTCATTAATTGTATTCTTCATATCCAGAATTTCTATTTGGCTTCGTTTTTCATAGTCTCAATCTCTTTGGTGAAGTATTTCTTCTTTTCATTAATTTTATTCCTGAGCTCACTGAACTGTCTTTCTGAATTTTCTTGTAACTTGCTGAGTCTCTTTATGACAGCTATTTTGAATTCTCTGTCATTTAGATTGTAAATTTCTGTGACTTCAGGGTTGGTTTCTGGAGATTTGTCACTCTCTTCTGCACTGAATTGTTGCTGTGGTTTCTCATGGTGTTTCATGAACTAATCTTTTGGCAGTGTATTTGTAGTAGTATCAGGTCGCTGATTCCACCTGCAACCGTGGAGGGAAGCAAGAGCTGTGTTTCTGATTTCACCCTGTCTGCTGGAAGCTGTGTGGTATAGAGGATAGTCCCACTGGCTGGGAAAGCATTCCCAACCAGGCTCGAGGTACCGCTGCACCAAGGCGCGTTCCCACTTGTGGGGCTGCAGCGGTTCTATAGGCGCTCATGCTGGCCAGGAAAGTGCTCGCATGTGCGCACATCTGCCACCATCTCTGCTTACAGTCATGCCAGCCACTGTGCTTGGTGGCAGGGCTTCTTCATGGTGTCTGAGCCTGGGTCACTTGTTGGAACTGCGGTGGAAAGGTGGGCTCTCCTACCGTCTGGGAAAGCATTTGTGCATGAGTCCCAGGCTGTTGTGGCCCCTACCCACAGTTGTGCTGAGGCACGTTCCCACTTTCAGGGCTGTGGCGGTATTATGGGTGCTTGTGATGGCTGGGAAAGTGTTCAGGTGCTGCTGGGGAAGGGTAGGGGAGTGCTCACCTATCTCCACCACTTCCCATGGTGCCAGTCCATCCACCTTCAGATGTATAGTTGTGTTGGTCTCTCAGGTGTCCTGTTGTGCTGTGTGGGTTTCCTCCATCAGTCACTGAATGTCCATTTAGTTATAGTTCAAAGGTGGAGAGATAAAGGGAACAGCTCACTCTGCCATGTTGCTGATGCCATTTGTCAAGAGTAGGATTTTTTTTCTTTTGGAAGATTAGCCCTGGGCTAACTGCTGCCAATCCTCTTCTTTTTGCTGAGGAAGACTGGCCCTGAGCTAACATCCACGCCCATCTTCCTCTACTTTATATGTGGGACACCTACCACAGCATGGCTTGCCAAGCGGTGCCATGTCCACACCCAGGATCTGAACTGGAGAACTCTGGGCTGCCGAAGCAGAACGTGCGCACTTAACCACTGTGCGAGTGGGCCAGCCCCAAGAGTAGAATTTTTAAAAGCACATGGGAGCTGACTAATGGCTACTGAGAAACAAAGCATTACTTAGGGAAGTTTCTTGCTTTAAATGATGTTCACACATTCGAGCTGGCATGTAAAACCATTATTGGAAATCACATTTTGGAATGGCAGTAAAGGCTATATTAAGCTGTAGCAAAGCAACACAAATTACTTTCCCAGAAGTAATAAGAAAAAAACCCAGTTTATTCCAAAGGAAAAATATATCTATACATTAGAATTAGTTGAATATTTTAGAGGAACAGTTCTTTCAAGAAAGTTAGTTGTTAAAGTTCTTTATTCTACCTTAGCTAAGAGCAATGTACAATTCCACTGAGACACTGGCAATGTTGCCAATATGCACATGGTTCTAATATAGGATTTCTCAACCTCAGAACTATTGACATTTGGGTGAAGATAGTTCTTTCTTGTATGTCCTGGGCATTGCAGCATGTTTAGCAGCAACCCTGACCTCTACCTGCTAGATGCCAGTAGCAGTCCCTCCCTGGGTGACAACCAAAAATGTCTCCTGACATTGACAAATGTCCCTTGGGGGACAAAACTGTCCCAGTTGAGAATCACTGGTCCAAGGCAGTATAATTTAGACATTTTCCCATACTATGAAAGTTACTTTTAGATGATGAATATGATGTTTACAACATAAAATTAACTACTGCATTGTCTCTCTGGTATCTATAGGATAAAATCTAAAACATTTAGCCTTCTGCATTGTAACTGAGGCTTTCTATCCCTTTATACAGAAAGTCTGCTCTAGTTAGTGTATTTTTGACTTCTGAAACACACAATGTGCATCCCTGTCTGTATTAGAGATGCAAGTGATTTTTCTCCCTACTGGACACTCCTTTTTACTGTGTGACTGGCCATAGCCGAATGGATCAAGGGTGCACAACTGATAACGATGGACCGAATTAAGAGGCAGACTTGGCTAATCAGATCTTTCTCCTTGGGGCTGGGCATTTTTCTCTATCTTTGGGTAACAAGCAAGTGAAGCACAGAAAGTTAGCTTAAAATGACAAAAAGCAGACATGCAGCCCACAAGAAAGCGAAGGAGGGCGGGTGGGCCAGCTCGTGGGGATATCTTCCATGAAGTCTATTAAAAAATCACTCCAAATTTTTCCTTCTCTGAACTTCTTTAATTAGTGGCATAATTGGGAGCAAGTCACTATCTCTCTCAAGATCTCAGTTTACTTATTTAGAAAATGAGGGTGATGGGCCAGAAAACAGCTAAGTATTCTTTAGTTTAAATATCTGACTATGGTATTAATTATTGGTACTATCTCCTAGCATTGTTTTCTATTGTAATTTAACTGCTGATTACTACTTGACTTTTCACGAGTACATCTTCCTGATTAATGTTGATGCTCCCTGAGGGCAGGAGCAGAATATTGTATTTACTTCTGTAGGGAGGAGTGATCACAAATTGTAGATGGTGAATCCCTGGAAATTACTGAGTTATAACAAGAAGGATGAATGCTGTTACTAGATTGACCAGATAAATATATCCCTTAGTACCTGCCTTTTTAGACCCTAGGACTGATTCGGTATCTCATTTCTCACATTCTTATGTTCAAAAGGCTAAATCATATAGGTATGGCAAAATCCTGATGAAGAAGTCAAAGTCTTGCAGAAGAACTAATGATATGTGAGAAAGAAATGTCTGAATCAAACATGCTGGCTTACTACTCTTGATGCAATAAATGGAGGGTTCTTAGTAAAATGATGTGATGGTTAATTTTATGTGTCAATTTAACTGGGCACGAGGTGCCCAGACATTTGGTCAAACGTTCTGGGTGTGTCTGTGAGGGTGTTTCCGGATGAGATTAGATTTGAACAGGTAGTCTGAGTAAAGCAGATTACCCTCCCTAATGTGGATGCGTTTCATCCAATCAATTCAAGACCTGAATAGAACATACAGGGTGAGTAAGAGGGAACTCCTCTTGCCTAGCTGCACTGATCTGGGACATTGGCCTTCTCATGCCTTTGCACTTGAAGTGAAATATCTACTTTTCTTAGGTCTCCTGCCTGCCTGCTTTTGGACTGGAATTTATACGATCAGTTTTCCTGAGGTCTTCAGACTTGGACAGGAACTACACCACTGACTCTCTAGCTTGTAGAATGCAGATCTGGGGACTTCAGAGTCTCCATAATCACATAGGACAATTCCTTATAATAAATCATTTTCTATATACAGTCATGTGCCGCATAATGACATTTTGGTCAACGACGAACTGTATATGTGATGATGGTCCCATAAGATCAGCACCATATGGCTTAGTACCATATGGTAGGCTGTCCCATCTAGGTTTGTGTGAGTACATTCTATGATGTCCACATAACAGGGAAATCTCCTAATGACACATTTCTCAGAACGGATTCCCACTGTTAAGCAAAGTAGGACTACATATACATCCTTTTGGTTCTGTTTTTCTGGAAAACCCTGACTAATATAAATGGCTATAAAGCTAAATCCCACACAGGAGTCCCATTTTCCCATTATCAAAATTTCCGAGAATTTTGAGATTTCTATTAATTAGCTTGATACGATAATTTAACAATTTCAGATTTGATAAAGCCAAAAAATTAAACTAAATTGACCTAAATGCTAAAATTAAAAGTCTTTAGGAAACTATATGAAGATTCCTTCCTTGATTTATGAATTTTGAATGATAAAGATGCCATATATTAGGATGCTATAGTTTAGATGATGTTATTATAATTAATAATTATATAATCATGATAAAACTTTGGACAGATGATATATTCTGTTTGCAATTATCACTCACAGAAACAAAGGATTTCTCTATGGAGACATCTGCAACAACTGAAATGTTCTGTTCTATGGGTTTGTTCTGCAGAGAGATTAAGCTACAAATATGAGATTTTAAGAGTTGAAAGAAATATTGTAATTCTTACCAATAAAGTAGAAATTCTAAAGAAAGGAGTACAATTAATCATTTCAGGAAAATTAATGTAGATGAACAGAAAACATTAGGACTTTTTACTTTAATTACATTCACTTTACAAAAACTTTTTCTCTCCTTACAATAAAAAATGCTCTGGTAAGTGGTACACTTTCCATATAAATTAAAGTATAATTTTCTTTTCAAAATTTCAATTTATATACTACTTTTCAGCAAGGTGCTACAAAACAAGCAAAGTATACCTATATGAGATTCATTACCTTCTAAGAAGGTTTAACTTTTTGGCAGAAATGAAATAACTTTAACAATTTATCAGTGGACATATTTAGATATGAATAGTCTATGAATTCACAAATGCGAGTTATTATAGTGTGAAATGCAATCTCACATTTGGAATTCTTTAAAGTTCAGATTTGATTTAGTACATCTTTGTACAACGGTTCTGAAAAGGAGTCAGGGAAGTCAATTGGTTTTAGCAAGTTAACTCTTGAAGCTACTGATATGTTAGGTACTCTTGACATGTAAGCCAAAATAATGCCTGCCGGTGAAGGCTCATTACGTCGTGAAACTGTAAAGTTTTCTTGTACGAGATGATTATCTGGATAAGATTATGACAAAACATTAAAACTTTTCCAGAAATATTTTTGTCTTAAGATTTTCATATATGAAGATTAACATGCTATGAATGAAAAGCAACTTTATTTCAAACCATTTGTAGTTGGCATTTGGCTGCTGACCTGTTTGATACTCCTGGAGACAGGACCTGGAATAATACACTCATCACTGTCAGAAGCTGATCTGTCTTCTTCATCTGTTAAAAAATAAAATTTTATTGGTTTAAATCTGTTAAACCAAATATATATCTGTACATTGTGAAACAGAGAGAAATAAGCATACCTTATAAGGATAACCTTAAAAGAACAGTAGGAAAATCATGTCTGCACTTTTTTAGCAGCAGAGAGAGTTACATTTACATTACATTTTAGAAAAGAGAGAAAAAAGATTGAAAATCCCAAGTTTAGTTCTGGTAGAAATAAAGGAAATAAAAATATAGCTGTTCTAATATGAATTTAAAAAGTAATTTTTTTAAAGAGAAGGACATGGTAATAGGTGCTTTGTAATAGCTTAACCAGTAGTGTCGTGTAAAAATCAAGTTATTCTTACCACTTACAAACATTTTAAAAAGTTTTACAGTTTTGTTGTGATAAATTTGACATACAATAAACTGTATACATTTAAAGTGCAAAACTTGGTATTTTGACATATATATAATTCCATGAAACCACCACCACAATTAACATAGTGAACATATCCATCACCCCTGAAGTTATGTCCTGTTCCTTTATCATCTCTTTCCTCCCATTTGTCCTACCCTAGACAAGCACTTAACCGCTTTCTGTCACCGTAGACAAGTTTGCGTTTTCTAGATATTTACATAAATTAAATCATAAGTTGTCATTTTTTGTCTGAGTTCTTAGTTTTAATTTTTAAAAAGTCAAGTCCTCTAGAATAATCCAGATGATAGTACTGAACTCAAAGAGAATATACAGCCATTTAAAATATAAATTGGGATTATGGCCAGAAATAATACTTGCATTCTGTTGTGGCTCTCCCAGTTGAGATAAGAAGATATGGAAGAATTTCACCTGACCATAGCCAACTACACTGAACTATATCCCATTATTTCTGCCAAGAAATAGGTATTGTGGGGGCCGCCCCCCTGGCCGAGTGGTTCAAGTTCTGCACGCTCTGCTTTGGTGGCCTGGGTTCACAGGTTTGGGTCCTGAGTGGAGAACTACTTCACTCATCAGCCATGCTGTGGAGGCAGCCCGCATACAAAAGAGGGGAAGACTGGCACAGATGTTAGCTCAGGGCTAAGCTTGCTCAAGCAAAAGAAAGAAGAGGAAGACTGGCAATGGATGTTAGCTCAGGGTGAATCTTCCTCACAAAAAAAACCCCAAAGCAGTACTGTGAAGTAGAGCCACTACAAAATGAAGATGTTCCGTGAGGTACGCTCTAACGGTTACATGACACAAGGAGTCAAGTAAATAACATTAACAAAAAGAAAGTCACCTTCTGGTTCCAATTCTTCAGTTATTTCCGTTTCATCTTCAGAAGAAGGCAAACTTCGTTCTGCAAGCTGACCCTCGGACAGTAAGGACACATCATCATCTTTTCCTTGTTGCACTTTCTCAATATTCTCTTTTACCTTATCTATGCTGCTTTCTTGAGAAACCTGAAGAAATGAATGCACACTGATATATTTATTATTGCTTAGATCACATTTATAGCATTCTTGCTGATGCATTTGATAATAAAGCATGCAAACTTGAGACAAACATACAGACATGCAACATCTATACATGATTCATTGGAAAATAATCACTTAAATTGTACAAATGAAAATAGGCAGATAAATGAAAATCTGATTATAAACTAAGAATGAAAAGAACACTAATATGAAAATGAATTTCACATTAATACTTTAATTCACATATGTATTTACTATCTGCTAGTATCAGCATAATTGCAGCTGCTACATTTGTCATATTTTTGACTTTTCTATTCCAGGGAAGTCATGTAATAATAGGTTCAATGCTACGATTTCCTGATTCATGTCAATACAAAGACAAAATCTTTAAGAAACAAATTAAACCTTTCAAAATAATTTAATACAAATACAAACCTCGGGAATATGTGAAACAGCTGGCATATTAATTTCTATTTCTGGTGTATGCTCCACTTCTGGTGAAACTTCCTTCATGTCTTCAGGAGGAGAAGAGGTCTCCTTATATTAATGTATAAACATGCATGTATGTTACTTTGTATTTATTGCTAAATCCCAAATCATCCTAAGACTTTTTCATAATATGTATAGGCACTAATAAAAATTAAGAGCAAATATAGTAGTTACCCATAGGACACTGAATTTAGTTAGTGCATTTCAGCAAAATGGTTGATATTCTTCATGATACACATATGCAATGTAAGAACTGCACGTGCACTTCATTGAAGCATCGTTTATAGTTGCAAAAAAGTGAAAACAATGCAAATGTCCAACAATGTGGCATTAGTTAAATAAAATATGGTACATCCAAATACCTGAGTTCTATGTAACCATGAAAAATAATAATGCAGATCTGTACTTACTGACATTAAAGAGAGTACACAATATAATGATGAGTAAAAAAGCTAGCTATAGAAGAATATATGTAGTTCTATACTATTTTGTTAAAAAACAAACATGCAAATAGACAAACGTGTGTATATTTCCATGGGAAAAAATATGAAAGTAAATTCACCAAAATTCTCTCTGATATATAGATTTGGGGAAATTTTTTTTACTATTTTTATTTTTGTTTATTTGTATTTTCTAATATTTCTATGATGATTATACATTACGCATGTAATCTAAAAAACTGTATATGCTAGGGGCCAGCCCCGTGGCATAGTGGTTCAGTTCAGTTCAGTGTGCTCTGTTTTGGTGGTTTGGGTTCGTGGGTTTGGATCCCAGGTGCAGACCTACACCACTCATCAGCCATGCTGTGGTGGCGATCCACATACAAAAAAGAGGAAGACTGGCACAGATGTTAGCTCAGGGCTAACATTCTTCAAGCAAAAAAAGAAGATGGGCAATGGATGTTAGCTCAGGGCAAATCTTTCTCAGCAAGAAAATGAAAAAAAATTGTATATGCTAAAATAGGCATGTACTTTCTATGATCAACATTATCTTTTTATTGTATCAAATGTCAATTTATAGCCAACCATTTATTCAGGGTTTATAAACTGATGTTTATTTTTAAAATAGTTTATCAGTTTTGCTATTTTAAAAGTAAACATGTCCAATATAGAAAATGTGAAAGATAAACACGAAAATATAAAAGACATTAATAAAAATCCATATTCCCATTACCCAATGATAATATCTGTTAATAATTAGTTAGACTTCTCTTTCTTTATAATTACTTTTTAATGCAAATAAAAAACTTTTTTGGTTACACAGTGGTAATTATAAGTACAATATATCCCGTTACGTAAAAAAAAAACAGTGTTACAAAATTTTCTTGTGATATGAAACTCTGGGTAAACATAATTTTTTCTTTTTTTGGAGGAAGATTAGCCCTGAGCTAACATCTGCTGCCAGTCCCTTTTTTTTTTTTTTTTTTTGCTGAAGAAGACTGGCTCTGAGCTAACATCCATACCCATCTTTCTCTATTTTATATGTGGGATGCCTACCACAGCATGGCTTGCCAAGCAGTGCCATGTCTGCACCTGGGATCCGAACCACTGGACCCTGGGCCGCGAAGTGGAATGTGCACACTGAAGTGCTGCACCACTGGGCTGGCCCCTGCATAAACATAATTTTTAATGACAACATAATATTACAATGAGTGCATGTATCATGATTTAATGAACCATTGCACTAACATTGGACATTTAACTAGCTCATGATTTTTAGCTATTATGACTAACACTGCAACAAACACCTCTATTTATATGTCTTTTTTATATTAAGGATCATTTACTTAGGAATCAGGTTACCTGTATTTGAATCCTAGATCTAATACTTTGACCTTGAGCAAGTTACTTAACCTCTGTAAACATTACTTCCTCTATCTTTAAATGGAATAATTCTAATATGGACAACATAAGGTTGTTGTGAGGATTAAATGAGTTTAATGGATATAAAGCATTTAGTTCAGTGCCTGGCAGATAATAAGCACTTAATAAATGCTAGCTATAAAACACGGCCTGAATAATTATTCAATTTATTTATTTAGCACATACAGATTAAACGTTTTGTATATGCCAGGTATTATTTTAAGCCCTGGGGAGAAAGAATATTTTGATTTGGGTGGTGGGTATACAGGGCTGCACATATGTAAAAATTCATTGAGCTGTGCGCCTAAGATCTGTGTCCTTTACTGTACAGAAGTTTATCTCAATTACAAAGCAAACATTTCTTTAAATGTCCGTGAGAGATGACGGTGACTTGAGCGGTGACAGTGGAGGTGACGAGCACTCAGGATATATTGTGCAAGTGCAGCTGACGGGCCTTGCGGATGAGCCGAGTTGTGGGATGTGAGAAACGAGAGTCAAGGGGAGGCCTCCAGAATTTCACAGCCGCACAGCTGTGTAAACGATTACGGCATTTACTGAGAAGGGGAAACAACCAAGACAGAAAAATATTGGAAGAGGGTTGGCGAAACCAGGTTTGCTTTTAGACGTAGGTTTAGGTTCCTATTAGAAACCAGACAGCACATGAAATAAGCAGTAAGAAAATAAATATGGAATCTGGCAGTAAGATCAAGACTGAAGATTATAAATATGGAAGTGTCAGCAGATAGATGCTTTTTAAAACTATGGCATGGGCTGGGATCTCCTAGTGAAGATAAAGACTGAGAAGGGGTCTAGGTCTGGAGTTTGACTGCTGAGGCATTTCAGCGTTCAGAGATGTGGTCCGGGAGAGTGAGAAGAAGAACCGGTCAAGTTAGAGGAGAACTAGGAAGGCACGGGATCCAAGAGACCAAGAGAAAAAGCAGCAAGTATTCCACTGTGTCAAAAGTTCCTAGGAGATTCCAATGGGCGCTGAGTATTGACTGCTCGGGGCAAAGTGAAAGTCATGGTGAATTTAGCAAGAGTGAGCACATTTAACACTCTTACACAGTGCCAAGTGACAAAGCTGACATTTTAAAGAGAAAAGAAGCATTTTATTCATCTGTTTCTATTTAAATCAGGTAGGGTATACTATACCTCTATCATTTATTTCTAATGTTTGCTACGGGGAAAAAAATCACTATTTTGAGTGTTTACTACTTACAGAAGGCTGATGTGGTGTGATATCCACAAAAGATACCTTCTTTTCTACAGGTGTTAAACGTTGTCTTGGTTTAGGTGTTGGTGCCTAAGATAAACCAGTACATCAGAGTGAGTATAGTGAACATATATTTTAGATAAACTTTAGCTATGTTTTCTTTTTTTGACTGTTTCTTAAGTTTTATAGGAAATTCAAAGTCACTGTTACTCACTACAATTAACGTGCTAACAGAGGATGCTGGAGGCAGTCTTTGAACAGCTTCTGACTCTGCTTTCAGTATGAAATTTCCTAAGTCTTCAGTTGTTATGGATCCACTTGGGGGAAGGTAAGCAAATTTCCATTTCAATATAACATGGATGGTTCCTGCAGGATGCTTTTTATGATCTGTTAACTCAAAAATTCCTGTCAAATTACGAAAATAATTGTAATTAGTGCTAGGGTGAAGTTTATGACCATAAGAATTAAAGAAGAGCAAAGAGAACTACCCACAACTTTAAAAATAATTTAGGCTTTTACTCACAACTCAAGTGACTTAGAGACTAAAATAAAGACAAGAGGATCTATGATAGGTTCATCTCTCAAGTAGACTGCTTTCAGAAGTCAAAGCATCAAAGATAAAACTGATTCAAAGATGAGAAAATTAACTTATAAATATTTTAATTCACTGAAATTAAATTCAGAGATTTTTCAGAATTCTTAGCCTTCCTCTAATTATCTGGGTTACAACTCAAATACTGATCTTCATTTTGATTTGAATATTCTTGCAAAAGACTTGTCTATATAGAAAAATATATTAAAAGTTCAAAATTTCAAGTAATTTATATATCTAAAGAAGTCTTTACTATATAACTCTATTATAATTTTAAATATGTTTTGCTGGGATTTGTTAAATTACTCTAAATTAATAGTAGCATACCAAAAAAGGTCCATAAAATAAACAAACTACACAAAACATACAGCAATAATAAACAGTATTATCTAGCTGAATCTGTAATATTGTCCCAAATTTTAATTTTGACACTAGATTTTTCAGTATGCAAAATCCCTCACTTGAAGAAAACAAACCCATATTATAAGCATAACTTTTATTTAGGGGTATCCTTTACTTGGTCCTCAAGTGTTTGACACTTCTTTTAATGGCTTGGCTCGGGAAAAAAACAAAACAAGACAAGGCTAGACTTTATGTAGAAAAAAGTATATAGGAGGAATATGGAGAGGTGATAAAATTCTATTATAGGCACAGGTGGGACTTCCAGATTGGCTGAATGAAGAGCTGAATAAACCCTTTCCAGGAAAAGCAATGATAAAACTGGACAAAATGATGAAAAATAACCATTTAAGGACTTTGGAAATTGATCAAAGGTGTACAACAAATTGAGAAGCATTATTCAAAAGAATCTACTGAACCTCAGTAAGAACAGCAGGAGTCAGAACAGACCCTAGTAAGCTACTTGTCCCTGGCTGAACATGAGAACAGTAGACTGCCTAGGCCTACTTTGAATGCATTACCCAAGCCATCAGCTCAAGGTGTTTAATCATAACCTCTGACCACGCATTGGCTGACCATGAAACTATGGTGACTCAGGCTTAAAATTAAAACAAGAATAAAACAAACAAAAAATTAGCAGAGACATCAGTGGCTACAGTGAGGGGAAAAGATCACAGAATTAGTCCAGGTAAGTCACCAAACAAAGAGAAATAGCAACAGTAACCATCACATGGAGTGGGAGAGGGCTGGAATACAATATAGAATCCTAAATATCCAATTTTAAACAAACAAACAAACCCCATAAGACATGTACAGAAACAGGAGAATGTGCTGCATACACAAGAAAAAAGCCATCAATAGAGTTTCTCATGGTGTACAGATGATAGACTTAACAGACAAAGACCTCAGAGCAGCTATTATAAACATATTCAAAGAATGAAAAGAAACCACGTTTAAAAATTAAATAAAAGTGTGATGACAATAACTTATAAAACACAGACTATAACAAAGAGATAGAAATTGTAAAAAAAGAAAACTAAATAGAAACTTGAGTTGAAAAGCACAATTACTAAAATGAAAAAATTCGACTGAGGAGTTCAGTAGGAAATTTGAGCTGGGAAAAGAATGAATCAATGAACTTGAAGATTGATCAAGAGAGATCAATCTGAAGAAGAAAAACGAAAAAAAAAACAAACCCAGAAGCCTCAGAGACCCATGGAACACTATTAAGCACACGAACATATGTGAAAAGGAAGTCTAAGAGGGGGAAGAAATAAAGGGCAGAAAAATAATTGAAGAAATAATGGCAGAAAATTTCCCAAATTTGGTGCCTAACAGTATCCTACACATAAAGAAGCTCAACAAATTCTACACAGGGTAAGCACAAAGGGATCCACACCCAGACACATCATAGTTGAAAGCCAAAAAAAAAAAAAAGGGAAAATCTTGTAAACAGCATGAAGCACAAGGGAAGCGTAAGAAGATGAACAGCTGACTTCTCATCAGAAACAATGGATGCCAGAAATCAGCTGTCTGATGTACTCAAAGTATTACAAGAAAAAAACAACTGACAACCAAGTATATTATATCCAGCAAGACTATCCTTCAGAAAATAAAAGCTATGTAAAGACAGTCCCAGATAACAATGACTAAGTGAATTCATTCCCAGCAGATCTGACTTACAAGAGATATTAAAGGAAGTTCTTCAAGCTGAAAGGAAGTGACACCAGATGATAACTACAAATCAACACAAGGGGATAGAGACCAGCAAGATTAATTACATAGGTAATTATAAAAGACAGTAAAAATAAGTTTTCCTCATTTCTTCTCTCAACCAATTTAAAAGAAGGTTGCATAAAACAATTGTAAAATTATATTGTGGGACTCATATGAAGAAAAAAATATGACAATAATAGCATAAAAGAGGGAGAAGACATGGAGTAATCCCGAGTAAGGAAATGACACCAGGTAGTAACTGAAATACATATGAAGAAATAAAGAATTCCAGAAATGGCAAATACATAAGTTAATATAAAAGCCTCCTATAATTATATATATTTTCCCTTCTTTTAACTTCTTTAAAGGACATAAGCTTATTTAAAGCAATAATTATAACATTGTATTTTTGGGTTTATAACATATATAGGCACACAAATATATGACATTAATAGTACAAAGGAGGGGGGAGGGAATGGAATTACATTGCAACAGATTTCCTAAATTTCACTGGAGTTGTTAGTATTAATTTTAAGTAGATTGTGGTAAGTTAAGATGCATATTATAATCCCTGGAACAACTACTAAGAAAATAACTAAAAAAACATAATATTAAAGGTCCAAAGTTTACAATTATCCGACAAGGTTAAGACTAGTTATAAAAAGATCATATCCATAATAATGAGGTATAATTTAGGTTTGTTTTTACAATTTCATAGATTCAAGAAACAGGCTTACCTGAAATACACCTGTCATGTGCCAATGAAATCAGAGGCACGTTGACTTTTCCTATGTAAATATTCTCCTGGGTATCACTATCATCAAACACATAAAAACTCAGAGACTCTGATTTAAGGTATCGATCCAAATCCATATTCATCGGCACTGGGAAACACATATGATCATCAAACTGTGGATCATTGCTACTGGGAATGATGGCTGTATCATGGTCTGCAAAATCAAAAAACTTGTACACAACATATGGGTGTGGCTGAAGGTGCCTTGCTCGGGCCTGCAGGTGGTTGCAGCATCTTATTGTAACATGAAGTTCATTTAAGTTGCCATCTGTGGAATCAGTAGAACTGAGCTGAGCAGTTTTGGGTGCTTGCTGACTTAACTGGAAAAATATACATATTTATATTATAGCAATAATACAATGAAAAGATAAACAACAGTTGCTAACCCTCAAACAAAAGTTTTGTACATGGACAAAAAGCTGCATATTTTCAATTCATAGTGAATTTCTCAGTAAAAGACTTTTGATTCTTCTTCAAAACCAATATTCCCTAGAACATGTGTGAACAGATGCTATTAGCAACAAACATAGAAGAATGAGCAATGCTCTTAAAACCAAATAAACCAAGAAAAAAGTTAATCTTATGCTCTTTAATTCTATTTAGTATTAATGAGTAAATTTTGCAGATAGGTCCAAAGACAAATGTCCTCTAGTTCACAAGTTTATTAAGAGCTAATCCTTCAACCATTCGAGCTATTCTGACCATATGCCATTCTTAAGTGAGAATCCAGTGAATTTGATGGGGCCCACTCATAGAGATGATTTTGTTATAGTTGGGTTGGTCCTCATCCTCAACCAATGGGGTCCGGGGAAACAGATACCGGAGGCCAAGATTAGCCAGTATATCAAAATCCAACGGTTATGAGAATAAGAGAACAGAGTCAGAGATAAACCTCGGAGGGGATAAAAAGCTAGGACTGACAGAACATTTCAGAAGAGAGATGAGCAAAAGGAGTTAGTAGGCAGAGCTAGAAGCTACTCTATGGACCCCTTTGGAACTATTTACTCAGGTAGCCAGTGCACAAATATTTCAGCAAACAATTGCACTGACTAACTGTTAAGCCCACCACAGCTGAAGCAATCTGGGACAAACAAATGTTAGTGTTTCAGTGCCCTGCTTAGTTTTGTGTTGGAGTTATTCTCTACCTTTCACAAAGGGACCCCTCTTTCACTGCATTTCTGAACTTGGATTGAGCATCTGGAACCTGTGACTCTGGAGAAGTTTACTGGAGAAGGAAAAATAGAGCCATAGTCATAATCTCCTTAGTGGAGACATCTGGTGGTGTGGGGAGGGGAAATGTGAGAAGGGAATAACGATACTGCTTTCCCAGGGCTCATTTGCATCCAGCTATAGAAGGCTGAGTGGAATGATTTGCAAAATAACCCCTCTGCTTCTCCCTGCAAGTACACCCATAAAAGCTAAAATACCAATGGCAAACAACTCATTCAAGCCACACGCCAGGAGTCTAAAAATCTTTAAACTCCGAAACTAAATAAATAATCTAGTCTATTTCTAATTCTCTTTTCCATAACAGCATTTCCCAAAGTGTATTCTGAAAAATACTAGTCTAGAAAGATGATTTCTGGGAAACAGGTGTCACTCTTTCTCAGTGTGGAAATCTATTAGTCACGGTTCTTTAGTTGAAAGTTACGGAAACTAAGCCCATGTAGCAAATACAACCAAAAAGAGAATTTGATATAAGGCTACAGGTTTATTTCATGGAACTGTATAGCAGAAACGTAGTTGGGCCTTAGGAAGGTAATGAGACTGGAAAATCATCAGAATTTACTATCTGGTTTCCATTTCTCTCTATATTGCTTGCTCACTATTCTCTCTCCAGACCCATTTTCTTTCCTTTGCTGGTTAACATGGTAGAAGATGGCTGCCCCACAGCTCCCAAATTTACATGTTCCAGGTATGTAAAAGTTCTGCTTTCTCTTGATCTCAGAAAGCAGAATCTGATTGGGTCAACTGTGGTCAAGTGGATAGTCCTGAATCGTTAATTAACTGGGTGGAGAGTGGGAGAGGACAGGATCCCGGAACACACAGCTGGCCACTGGGGGCCCAGCCCCGTGGATTGGGAATGAGGGGAGTTCCAAATGAAAAAAGATACTTATGACTTGAGCAGACATTCCAAAATATTTCTACCATCCTCTATCCCTCTGTTACTCAACACAAGTGCATACTTTCTGCTTCCTCTTGAGGTTCATGTTATACGTGGGAAGTCCTAAAGTCAAGGATCCTATTTAACTTTGCTCAGTTCAGTGCTTTCTGCATTTATTGGATCATGGAATTCTTTTGGAAATATGGTCATTAAGACTGCATGAAACACAGTTTGGGAAATGCTGCTCTGAGGAATTACATTTAAACTTCCAGTTCTTGGTAAGAGAATATTCATTTTGTATTCTACTTCACACTTCAGAAATCTAACATGAGGAAACGGTTGGAAAGAAGGACACTAACAGCTACTTATTTCCTTAAAGTAGAAACTGTAACAAAAGTCACTTGATGGGGCTGGCCCCGTGGCCGAGTGGTTAAGTTCGTGTGCTCCGCTGCAGGCGGCCCAGTGTTTCGTTGGTTCGAATCCTGGGCGCAGACATGGCACTGCTCATCGAGCCATGCTGAGGCGGCATCCCACATGCCACAACTAGAATGACCCACAACGAAGAATATACAACTATGTACTGGGGAGCTTTGGGGAGAAAAAGGAAAAAAATAAAATCTTTAAAAAAAAAAAGTCACGATGTGTGATAACAGCATTGCAATCCATCTTTCAGAAGCATCTCAGGTAGCACAAGGAAGTTCCTTTGAGGTGATGGAACAATTCTGTATTTTGATTGTGGCGGTAGTTACGTGACTAAATACACATGAAAAAACTGCACAGAACTCCTCCTCCTCCTCCTCATACACACACAAACACACAATGAGTGCGTGTAAAAATTGCTAAAATCCGAGTAAGCCTGCAGTTTAGTTAGTAGTACTGTACCAATGTACCAATGTCAATTTCCTGGGTTTGACATTGTACCACAGATACGTAAGATGTTACAGTTGGGAGAAGCTGGGTGAAGGGTACCCAGGACCTCTCTGTACTATTTTTGCTACTTCCTGTAAGTCTATGATTATTTCAAAATAAAATGTTAAAAAAAGTCACTTGACGGCTGTGAAAGAAAATATCAGTTTAAAGCATGACATATAAAGAAATAGTATAAAATTTGCGTCATAAAAGGGTCTTAAAGTTAAACAAGCTTACCCCTTGCGTTTGCCCTGGCCCCTTAAAATTTGATGTTATATATCCCAAAGCCTTTGCCCGTTCTCGATAAAGTCGAATAGCTTGATCCATGGGAACTCTTAATCGGAACCAGTATTCCACTGTGCCAAAATTTGGGATGTCTCCTTTAGTTCCTATAAACCAATACATAACTCACTGTTAAAAGAGTCCCATAAATCAAAATATATACCTGTAAAAAATACATCAATGGTCTTATGCATTAAAACTATAAATTTTATACTGAGTAAAATAATATATGACTTACACAAATGATGTGTGATTGGCAAATAACAGAGACGAGGAAAATAAAGTTACTTCTGCAAGTCTGAGTTTCAGCTTATGTTCAATATTATTAACGAATTATGTCACACTATGGTTGAGATATTCCAGTTTACACCGTTTCAAGCATTCCAAAATATAGAAAAGTCTAAACATTGAATCAAATACTTTACAGATTTTGATGCTCTAGTACTTTGTTTTTAACAAGTTGCACTCAATGCAGTCTGACAGATACAATATAAAACCTCAGAACTATAAGTATGATATTCCACATTATAATTCAGCTTTCAAGAAACCTTTGGCACCTTCCCATTTCTCTACTGCGCCACAAGTACAGGGAAAGAGGCCACAGCTCTGCCAGATATCTATCGTACATAACAGACCCTTGTCTGATGTTCGCTCTGCACACCTTAGGACTCCTTTCAACTCAGGCAGCTCTTCATCTCCCTTCCTCTGTGAAGACTTCCTGCACGGCTCTCGGGGGACTTAACAGCTCTATGCTTCCTTCAGAAAGGAAGAATATGTCCTCATTAGAGCACTGACTGCTTTGGCAACTTGCAGTTCACCAGTCTATTTCTCCACCACACTGTGGGTTTCTTGAGAGCAAGGGCCATGGCTTCTACTGATATCTTCCTACCAGAGGGACGAGTACATAATGGGTACTCAATGTTTGTTGAATAGAGGACATTCTATACATAAACTTTCCTGAACATACCATATTATTAGGAATATTACCCCATTCTCTCCTATGTCATCAATTTCTAAAGATTTTATTTTTTTTCATTTTTCCTTTTTCTCCCCAAAGCCCCCAGTACATAGTTGTATATATTTTAGTTCTGGGTCCTTCTAGTTGTGGCATGTGGGACACTGCCTTAGCATGGCCTGACCAGCAGTGCCATGTACGCACCCAGGATCCGAACCAGCGAAGCCCTGGGCCGCTGAAGCAGTGTGTGTGAACTTAACCACTTGGCCACGGGGTCAGCCCCAAAGTCATCAATTTCTTTCTCACTAATGGATCATTCTCATCAACATACAAACATGACTCAAATCTGCCATCACTAAAAAAAGTCCTAAAAGAAGAATATTGACACAACACACATTTGCTTGTGTATGCATAAAATTTCTTTGGAAGAATTTGTAGCATTTGATGAGGGGACCCATGGTAGGTGGGGGACAGGGTGGAAGACAGACATCTTATGGTATAAACTTCTGTGCCTTTTTGATTTTCAAATCATGTAACTCTATTACCTATGCAATCAACCACTCAACCCATAAAATAAAATCCCTCCCCAGAACCTAAGTCACCCTCCTTCCTTCTTAAAGGTTTCTTCACTTGGCCTCTAGGATGCTGTATACTCTTGGTGTGTCTCCCACCTCACTGCCCACTCAGTTTCCTTTGCTGGCTCTTCCTCTTCTTCCTGAACTCTAAATTTTGGAGTTCCCAAGGCTCAGTCCTTGGCCACATTCTCTTCTTTATGTACATTCACTCTCTATGTGATATTATTTAGGCTCAAGGCTTAGAATATATTCTGTATACTAATAACTCCCACTTTTCTATCTCTATCCCTGACCTTCAGACTAGTGTACCCAACTGCTTACGTGACATCTCTACTTGGCTGTCTAATAGGCTGGTCAATCTTAACTTGTTCAAACAGAATTCCTGCTTTTCTTCTTTACCTTTTCCAGGTCTATCTCAATAAATGGCCTCACCGTTCCCCTAGCTGCTCATGCTAGAAATCCTTGCCTCCTCTATTTCCCTCATTATCCTACATTCAATTGACAAGCAAGTCTTAGAGGAAGAGTTAATCAAATATACAGTGAATATAACCACTTCTTATCACTACTTTCATTACCATCTTAATCCAAGTCACCATGATCCTTCTATAGATTAATGCAATAGACTGATCATGGTCCTATTTCCCCTCTTGGCCCCTACAGACTATTCTTCCCACAGCCCCCAGGGTGATTTCTCTTAAACCTATGGGTGATCATGTCACTTCCCTCCTCAAAACTCTCCAAAGACTTTCATCACTCAGAGAAAAAAAAAAAAAATCCCTACTCCCCAGAACCTACACGGCTCTGGAGTATGATCTGGTCCCTCCCTACTGCTTTGACCTCATCTCTGCTCTAGCCACTGACCTTCTTGCTCGTCCTCCACCTGTCAAGTTCATTCCTCCCTCAGGCCTTTGTACTTGCTGTTTCCTCTGCCTGGAACATTCTTCCCCTGGATCCTGGTATGGATTTTTATTCAGGTCTTTACAATTGTCAACCCTCAGGGAAGCCCTTATCGGAATTAGCAACTTTCCACCTCTCTCTTTACTCTCTTGCTCTGATCATTTTTTCATATCTGACGAGATATATATCTGTTTTATGGCCTGTCTTCCGCTCTAGAAGGTAAGCTACATGAGGGCAGGGGCTTTGTCGGTCTTATTTACCACTGACCACTGTATTCCCAGTGCCTAGTAACAGTGATAACATGGTAAGTTCTTAAAAAAATATTTGATGAATGTACTACAATGAAAGTTTGATCAAACAATGGTAGTAATATGGTAAATAAACATTTGCACTTATAAGCTTTTAAAAAATTAATAGCCATTGTACTGACATCATCAATGACACTTAGCATAGCCCAATCAACTGTGGGCAGCTAAATCAGAGAATGCTGTCCTTACCCTAAAGGAATCTTGAATCTGTAAGAGAAGATACTAATGTGGAACACTATATTAATACATAAACCAAATTAGTGTTTGAAACATCCAAAGCTTATACGACTGTACTTACCAACCAAATTTGCTGTGCAAAATATTCGACCACTTTTTTCCAGAATTTCATGGAATCTCAACTGACATGCTGCAATTGTTTCATAATCTGTGCTGTAAGCTTGGTGCACCTCAAGAGTGATAGTATTCTTCTGAATATAATGTAAGAATAAGTCATTAACATGAACAAGATATTGAGAAGTAAAGTTATATTCTGGGTGAAGGCCTTGCACTATGGGAGTTGTCTGTAGTTCAAAATCATAGAAAGCATAGGTACAGAAAGTGACAGGCTCTTTATCTCCAGATGCTTGTAAAACTTCAGAAGAAAAGGTTACTTTGTTGATATGGATTTCAAATAGGTTTTCACCTCGTTCTAAGTGAACAGTTTCATCAAATTCATCAACTGAGTCATCTGGCATGATTTCTGGTTTAAATTTGTACTGCTTGGTGCCATAGGCAATATCCTTTAATTGGGCTGCAAGAGAAAACACACAGTTTAGAGATTTTTAAATACTGATGTATGAAGATACAGACTGGCTTTTGAAGTGATAGGAAGTCTGAGTGTTTTTGGTGAAGAGTCTCCATCTTAAATGCTATGACTACATGTTTTTCTGTAAATAATACGGTATTATAAAGAAATTCATCATCTTTTTTGAAATCACTTATTAACAATGAAATTACAACTTTAGTTGTAACACAGGTTATATCAAGAAAAAGAAAAAAGAAAAAAAAGGCCTTTGAAAAGCTGAGGTAAATTGTTTGGAGTCCACCTGCTCCTCTGCCTCTGCTCTATTATCTTCTCTCCTACAAAATTAATTTCTCTTTCCAATTGCTCCTTCCCATCAGCTTAGTAAAATACGTACTTTTCTACTTGTGGGGGTGGTGCATATGTTTATTATCTCAATTATGGTGATGGTTTCATAGGTGTATACACAGGCCAAAACTCACCAAACTGTACAATTTAAACATGTGCAGGTTAAATTTATGTTAATTATATTCTGTAAAGCTGCTTTTAAAAATGACATCTCTTTCTAGATACACGTCTTCCCCACGTTACATCCAAATTTCAAGAAAAAGTAATGTATACTTGTATCTCCAACTCCTCATCTAACAGACAATCTTCAAATTCCTGCAAACAGCATGTGCCTTACTTTTCTCGTAAAACTACCACCAATAACCAATTAATTGCTAGATTGAATGGCCTTTGGTCCTCGTGTTACCTGATTTCTTTGCTTCATTGACACTGTTGACCACTTTCTCTCTGGTGAACTTCTGTCCTACTGTGGCTTCCATGTCATCATCTGCCCTGTTTCTCCTCCTGCCTCTCTTCTCATTCTTTAAGGGTTTCTGCTTTTCTGCTAGTTTGCTAGAGTGCTGTTTTTATCCTTTTCTTAGTCTATATATTCTCATGGATAATCTCATGCCCTTTTATGACTTCTGCTATTATCAATATGCTGAAGACTCTCATATTTCTATTTTTAATTCAGATTTCTTTCCTGAATTCCAGACCCACAAACCCAATGGCTTGCTGAGCCCTCTAGCTAGACATCCCCTAGGCATATCAAACTCAATATATCCAAAATAGAATGTATCCTATTCTCTTCTAGTTATTTCTGTACTTTGATTCTCAGTGATGGTGTTAGCATTCATCCAGGTGCCCAAACTAGATAGTACAGAGTCATCCTAGTTTCCTCTTTTTCTTTTACTCTCCCTACATCTGTAGGGTCACTACTGTTCAACACTATTTCCTAAGTCTTTATCAACTTTGTCCCTTCCTCTCTACCTCCGCTGATGCTACCTTACTCACACTCCCAGTGTTTACTACTAGATTACTGTCAAACCCAAACTGCTCCCTGCCATCAAATCTTACTCATTCTTCCCAAGACCTACAGCATGGTCTCCAAAACGCAGCTCTTGGTGCACTATTCCCCACCTTAAAAATTTCTTAGTGGTTTTCTAGGTTAACAAGGTTCAAACTCTTCAGGGTGGCAAAGAGGGCCTTCATCATTTATGTCTTTCCAGCCTTATCTCCAGGTTCTCCCCTCCCTTTACTAATCCTGAGTTCCAGTTAGATGGATCCACATGCAGTTTCTCGAACTAATGGCAGTGCTTCACATTTATGGCATTTTTACTTGCCTCATCTATTGCCTGCCACACCTGTCCATTGCTGTTATTTAGTGGTAAATTCTGTCACTGTTAAAGACTCCAAACCTACTACTGTGTGGAGTCTTCTTGAATCTTCAGGTATAAATAGGCATTCTATCCCCAATCATTCTTGGCACCTTTTGCATTTTCCCAGCTTCACACTCTTTACAGTAAAGTGTAACTGTCTATTTTCTTCCTCACATCTCATGAGTTCCTTGAGGGTGATGCCTGAGCTTTTTCCAGTATTCTCACTGCCTAGTACTTTGTTTTGGATGCATGAGGAGCTTGACCATGTTTATGGAATAAATCAGTAAATTTAAGAGCAGATAAAATATATTGGTAAAGATTTAGTAAGACCTGAAAGGAATGAAAATCCCAAATTCCGTGACCTCTCTGTTATTCAGGAAAATTCCATTAAGCAAATTTTTATTGAGTACTACTTGAAATAACAGGTACACACTGCTCTTTGACTTTTGGAAAACCCTGTTCAGTCGGAAAAAATATTTACTGAGCCCTTTTACTTAGGGCAGTGGTTTTCAAAGTATGGTCTGAGAACCCCTGAGGGCCCCGGAAACTGTTTTGGAGGTCTGTGAGGTCAAAACTATTTTTTTTTTTTTTTTAAAGATTTTATTTTTTTCTTTTTCTCCCCAAAGCCCCCCGGTACATAGTTGTATATTCTTCGTTGTGGGTTCTTCTAGTTGTGGCATGTGGGACGCTGCCTCAGCGTGGTTTGATGAGCAGTGCCATGTCCGCGCCCAGGATTCGAACCAATGAAACACTGGGCCGCCTGCAGCAGAGCGCGTGAACTTAACCACTCGGCCACGGGGCCAGCCCCTCAAAACTATTTTTATTTTTTTATTTATTTATTTTTTTTTTAAAGATTTTTTTTTTTTTTTATTTTTTCCTTTTTCTCCCCAAAGCCCCCCGGTACATAGTTGTGTATTCTTCGTTGTGGGTTCCTCTAGTTGTGGCATGTGGGACGCTGCCTCAGCGTGGTCTGACGAGCAGTGCCATGTCCGTGCCCAGGATTCGAACCGACGAAACACTGGGCCGCCTGCAGCGGAGCGCGCGAACTTAACCACTCGGCCACGGGGCCAGCCCCTCAAAACTATTTTTAAAATAATACTAACAACCTATTTTCCTTTGTCATTCTTATTCTCTCACAAAGGTATAATGGAGTTTCCCAGAATCTATATGATGTGTGATACCAACAGACTGAAAGAAGAAGCAGATATAAAAACCCAGCTGTTTTCTGTTAAGCCAGACACTAAAAAGATCTGCAAAAATGTTAAAAATTTTTAATAATTAAAAAATTTAAACGATTTAAAACAGTGCCACTCTTCTATTTTTTTTTTGGTATGGAAAATAGAGCTTTTTAAAAATAAAGACTATAACTTATGTTAACATACAATGGGTTTACTATTATTATTTTAGCCTGACTTAAAAGAAGTATTTTATAAATTTCTCACTTTCAGTTTTTAATATGATAAATATCATAAGTATAACTCATATAAGCAAAAGGCCTTTGGGATCCTCAGTAATTTTTAAGAGTGTAAAATGACTGCTGGCACAGATCACTGAATTAAGCACTGTACGGCAGAGAAGAGAGACAAAGTGCTTGTTATTGTAGAACTTACAATATTGCAGTCACAGAGAATAGGCCAAACCCCAGCAGTGAAGGACACATTGTACAATCCCCAAACATATTTTTGGAGTATATCAGAGGAAAAGTGGTGAGTGCTAAGGTAGTGATTTTCAAAGTATAGTCTTGCACCTGTGTCTGAATTGCTTTGAGTTATTTCTAAATACACAGAATCATGGGCCCAGGATCTCTAGGGGTGGGACCCAGGAAGCCACATTTGAAACAAGTTCCCCAAGTGATTTTCACACATGCTTAAGTCTGAAAACCACTGCAAGGGCATTTCAAGTAGAGGCATGGCTAGGAGCAATGGGAGCCAGCCTCCAGGCATGGGAGTGCGCTGAGTCAGATTCTGAAGGCGGGAAGGGTTTATCTTGGAATCAGGGTGGAAAGGAGGTTCAGTGGAGCAGACAAAGGTACAGTGTAGGACTGAACAAGATGCATCCGACAAAGAGCAAACTGATTTTTTTGGCCGAGATGCGTAGCTTGCTGAGAAGACAAATTAGCAATGAGGTGGTAAGTCAAGTCTATGGTACTTTATGAAGTACTTTGAAATCTTGCCTGCAACACTGAATTCGAAAACCAGAGAGAATTACTAAAAATTCTTTAGTATAAAAGAATCAGCTAAAAACAGCCTTTCTGGTAAATTATTATAGTTACGAATTGGGGAAAAAAGAGAGCAAAAAGAAATCATGAGTGTAGATTTGGATGACATTTTCAACTGTTATAAAACCCATTTGTCTAGTTACTGGAGACAAAAAACTGTGCACATTGTACCTTCTAGTTTCTGGATGCGTGCAGCCCTGACATCAAGAAGATGAACGTACTGTTCCACTTTGAGTTCATAATCTTGCTGCAAATTTTCCATCTTCTGGGTCACTGCCTCAACTTCCATCTAAAAAATAAGAGATAACAAGTTGAATACTTATGACTAGTTCCATATTCATTTTTTACAGCATTTCCTAGGGATACCAGGATCTGTAAACCATAGTTTCCTGACCTCAAATAGCTTACAGTTTAGGAAATAACGCTTGGCAATGTTCATAAATCAGAAATAAAATCAACAAAACTCTGGAATCCTTTTTATGGAGGGTTTTTCCCGTTAGTTAAGGGCTAATATAACATGAGGTTGTGGCAGGACCTCAGGATACCTATAACCCATTTGCAAAATGTGCTAACACTAGTAAAGGTGAATTCATTGCCACTATTCTCTAAAACCAAGGACTTAAAAAAAAATTTACTTGTATTTAAACTATTTATTCTAACTAGCCAGTTACAAGGCTAAATTCCAGTCATGTGGTAACACATGATAGTAGATTGTAACAGACGATAATACATGATACTGCTTAGAAAAGTAAATCACCAGTAGACTATTATAGGAAACCTACTCTCCCGATTTAGTGTATTACATTACCTGATAATCTTTATTAATTTTATGTTGCATAATTAGCATGTTTCTTGTCTTTTCAAGTTCTTGTACTGTTTCTGCATGAGTTGCTTGCAGCTCTCTCATGGAGCATTCTAGGTCTTTATTAATTGTATTGTCTACTTTCTCTAAAAAGGAAAGGTCTCCATTTTTTTGTGATTTTTGAGCCTAAAACAAAAACATGTTTTACTACTGAAACAAGAGTTTCTAAAATGTAATCATGTAAGTTAATACAGATACAGCAAGAAGCAATCATTAACTGAAAACAGATATAGTCCCATTTTCCACCAGGAATAAAGCAGTCCTGATATAGAAAATATTTTGGATAGACATTTGGAACAATTACAGAGAAATCAAAAAACAGTTTATTACTTCACGACATAAAAAAGAATCACATACATTTATTTCTATTTCTTCATTTGATTAAAATCTACACTGCGATGATCTAAAAGGAAAGAAATGCACTTTCTCATCTCTTCTTCTAAATAACAGAATATCCTAGAACTGGAAAATACCTCCTGTTAACATTTACAATTCAATAATTTATTTAAGATAATAGGGTGTACCAAGGGCTTTTAGGACAGAAAATTGTTGATTAGTTTTATAGTGAGGCATGTAAAAGTAAAATGATTGTTAGACTGGGAGAAAGTGCTTTAAGTAGAGTTTTTGAGGTCTATTTTAATGTAATTTTGATGTCATTATGAAATATGTATATGCTGTAACTAAATGCTGACCACTTTCCTGAATAATTCATTCTCAAGTATAAGGGTTACAGATAAGGGTCATCATTATGCTGAAACAGTTATACGCAGACATGAAATTCATGGTGAACTTCAGAAAGTTACCTTTACAAGCAGGAGAGCTTCGCTCAATTCATCAGCATTAATATCACTCTCCTGCAAAAGACAGAGCAAGTAAAAGCTCAAAATGAGGTATTAATGGAAAGTACCAGAGACATTCCAACTGTGCAGATTTTCCTCACGGAATAGAAGCTGCCTGACATCACGAATTAATAGACAAAGTAATATATTTGCATTCTTTTGCTTTATAGTATGGTGTTTTCTCTACACATAAAATACTTAGATAAAAACTTGGAGTTTAGTTCCTAAATAAGAAAATAGTTCACCTGGTTGTAAAATTTCATGCGATTTTTAAGTTCGTCGAGTTGTTGCTTTTGTTCCAGATACTGTAACCGGAGTTCTCTATTTTCTTGAATGAGTTTCTCATTTTGGTCTTAAAAACAAAGTCAACACAATTAGAAAAGTAACTGAGAATGAGGTATAAGAACACATTTTAATTAACTTAATTCCTGATACACACCAAGCTCGATCTACTATTGTTCTGGTCAGAGAGAAAACCGAGCTGGCACCTAGACAAAGGCAGCAGGGGAATGAGGAACAAATGAACACTATCATGTGTCTACCATATGATTCACTTGCTTATCGAAAACTTAAGACTTAGGTTCACAGTATTAATATAAGGAAATTGTGGCCTCTGGGACTTCAAAGGAACATTCTATCTAAAATACCTAAGAAAATATGTTTCTAAATCTATGATTTTTACTTACTTATTAAGGGTCCTGAAAGGCATGCAAGAAAAAATTTTTGTCTTTTAGTTTTTTAATTGACTTCCTTGAATTTTCTTTGCCCAATTTAGCATAAAGTCTTTTTATTAAAACAAGATCAACTTCCCTGGTAATAACTCTGAATCCATAATTTTAATCAATCACACTTTTAACAAATCTGTTAAGATAGGAGAAATGGGTTCTCAACCAGTACATGGTAGGATCAATAGTAATTCATGTGTGTTCTTTATTCATTGAGTTCCTGCTATTAATTAGTAGGACATGGACTCACAGCTATTGTTAAGGAGGAGAGGTTACATTTGCCTGGGCACTCATTTGCCATGATCCACAAACGGGCATAGGGCAGAGCTACAGAAGACTATAAATCCATAAAGAGACTAATTTTTCACTCCCTGCAGTAAATATGCTTAACTAAAAAAAAAAAAGCATAACAGCTTGCTAACAAATCTATTCTTTAGTCTCCTGTTCTTAGCTGTACTCTTCACTAGAGTTCATTGTGATGGTCAAGTGTTCTCCTTTGTTGGCTCCCTGTGGACTCAATCTAAACCATGGCATCTAAGGTGTCTCCACTAATTTCATCCTACTCTCAAAGATTTATATTTATCATGAGTCTTCAATTCAAGTTGTATATATTTTTGTTTCCTTTTCTTAAAAAAGTAAATCAATACATTTGCCAAGAATTCTTCACATGAATATATTTGCACACTGACTGCATTTTATACAAAAATATGTTTCTAACTTTTATGATGCTTTGTGTTCCCAAGCTATAAATACTATATATAAGTAAAAAGAGTAAATTACACAGTTAAGAAGAAATGGAGTAAGTTTGGGTGTTTTTAATGTCACATATTTCCTGGCAAACCAAAAAGTAAAAACAAAAAAACTGTGGCCCTAGGGTATGCAGAGACATTTTAATATCAAATACATAAACACTTTTAACTTATTGATGAAAGGTTAAAAGGTTACCCAAGAGTATAAATTGCTAATATTTAGTGAACTAAACGAAAGAATTTCCAAATGTGAACAATACTTGGAAATTTTGAAGGTAAAAGTCAAATACTTGTCTGTAACTAAAAATTAGGATTAATAATAAAGTCTTGAGATAAACTTGCTTTTTGGTTAAAGAGTAGAATAAGAATGTGGAATTCTTTATTTTATATTTGTTAGGTTATTGGTTAAAGAGTAGAATAAGAATGTGGAATTCTTTATTTTATATTTCTTAGGTTAAACGACATCCAGATAGAATGATTAGGTAACAGAAAGTAAATATTGTCAGAAAGAAGTAAAACCAAAGGTCCCAAGGATGATATAAATTCCTTCTTTGGCCAAGAAAACTTTTAGGAATTTTGAGGGTGAGCTCAAGTGTAAAGGACATTACTGCTCCATCCTCATCCAGACATGGCGTATTTCGATTAGTCTAACTCTGCTCTAGTTTTCCCATTCCTTCCACTTTTCAGAGCAGAGTCTTAAGAATGATATGCTAGTAGGTATAAATAAACTTACTCAAATGTTTCTTCCTTTACTGATTTTTGTTTCAACAACTATGTCTCCATTACACTGATATGTTTTTAAAACTAGGCTGTTATTAGTGGGAAAATAACTTATTAGTGGGAGAAGACATGACTGAATACCAGTAACTTTCTCCCTATTGAGTTTTACGTAGAATTATCTGCTATATTTTTCTTTTCTTAAACCGTTTATTGGGGACATAACTCCTGGGTCCGTAAAAAGTACAGAGACGCTATAGTTCAAAGAGGAAAGAGACTTGCTGAATAATAATATGAAAAATCAAAGCACCCTGTATAAGATGAAAAATAACCTCCTTACCTTATGGTTTGACAAAAAGCAGGGTAAGCTAAACAGCATTTTATTCAAATGAGATAACATTTCACTCTTTTAAAATTATGTTCTTCAAGCACACCATTAATAAGCAGAGTGCAGAGAACAATTCAACTAAACAATTTTCAGAGCTCCTTTGTGCTAATATCTTCAGCTGTGATCAGTATAACCATATGCATTATGCTGAATTATGCATTTCAGCTAAAGATAGAAAGGAACTTTCAAAAGCAGGCCCTTAGACACATGCAGTTAATTTAAGCATTAACCAAATGCAAACTGCATTTACATATCCTTCCCCCACATATTCACACAATCTGAAACTAATTTGTACCTTGAATAAAGAGGTGAGTATTCTCTAAAAATAATTTGCCAGTTAGATGAATGACTACAAGAAGCCAGGGAAACATCTTCTGGCAAAGAACATTTGATACATGAAAAGGTAAATGTGTGAAGAGACTTCAAAGTAAAATTAAACAATTTCAAAATCTGTAATACCAAAAGGAACTATCTAAATATTAAAAGATTTCCTTAAATAGACAATTCCATTTTTTCTTTTTTGTTTAGTATTTCCCTGTAAAAAGTGGTTAAAGGCTGTGATATTTTTCTTATAATTTATTGTAACATTTTCACAAAGAAACCAAAACTTAAATCATTAGACCTGTACATTTCAGGTATGCAAGCAAAAATAACTAAAATAACAGTTGCATTAAAAAGAAAGATTCAGTTTGGGCAATTTTTCTTAAGAAAATAATTGGATAAATATGTAAAGATTTGTGTAGAATGATGTTTATAATACTTAAAAACACTGAAGCTATTTAAAAATTCATCAATAGAAGATTGTTAAACAATCTATGGTACATTCTCACACTGGAAAACTATGACAGCCATTGTAAATGATGATGTGGATTTATATTCACACTCAAGGAAAAATTTCATAATATAGTAAATAAAAAACCATGTTATAAAACCACATGTATACATGTAGAAACAACTCTGGAAGAACATACATAAAAATATTAATAGTGATTATCTCGAGGGTTGTGGGATTGATTTTTTTCGTCTACTGGAATTTTTTTTCAACATACATGAATTATTTTTATTATTCAAAAAATCCAGAAATACATAATAACCAGTAAAAAAGACGAGGAATAGACTAGCTGCATTAAAATAACCCAGCAATTGTAGTTTTAATAATTTAAAAGAACTCCAGAATTAATTCAACAATAAACAAATTTTTTAAAAAGACCACCAAGATTCTATCCTCTTAAGAAGAGTTTCTTTCCAAACACCAATTCAGATGTCTAAAGATAAGAGGTTTGGAATTCTTGCTATCTAGGGAAATAAAGAAAGCACAGAAACAAGGAAGGTTTATTTCATTTCTCTTTTCTTTAGAATGAGCCATTTATATCCGTTTTTGGAAAAGAGAGAGGGAATATAGAGCACTTCCACTTCAGTGAACAGGAATTTATTGAGGAAGTATTAAACAAAGCACTCTGTTAGGTATTGAATACTGCACAGTGAAATCAGGCACTATGACTCTTTGAAATAAAAACTTTTAAATATCCACCCGGTGATAATCATGTCACCATTTTATTCTACTCTTCTAGAGTCCACCCTTGTAGAGAAAAATTCATAAATCATCTGTCATCAAATTTAATCACTTGGTGAATAAATATTGAACACATATTTCATTGAAATTAAGACTCCATTGATTATAAGATGTATTCCACTTTCAGACTTCTTAAAATGTGAAAAAAGGTCAGATCATAATTTTAAGATATCACTTACAAGATGCGGCCCAATCTCAAGATGTTAAAATGGGGAAAAAAAATCTTTCTTATAGTAAATGAAGTTTCTTATAGCATTGTGATCTAAATCAATATATAGATTACTAGTTAGAATGTAATTTTTTAAAAAACTGAGTCTGCATTAAACTTTTAAACGTTCTCAATGCAACTGAACTGCAAATGTTCAAAAGGAGCAACCTTGTTATCACATCAGTTGGTTTATCTAGTGGATGAGTAAACAATACAACATGTGAAGCAAATATTTCCCTGGTTGTGCATTTGTGTGTATATGTATGTGTGTATAAGACAGCAAATCAGACATCTACTTTGATTCTAATTATTTTACTTCTAGGAGAGAAGAAGGGTGAGATCTGTGACTCACAATATGAAACTTACTGATGATTATTATTCCAGCAGGGACATCGTGACAAGGCTTCCTGGTATTTAAGTTCACTGTCACAGAGTAGAATTAGACATCTTATTATCAGAGAGAACCTCCCTGTTCGACTTATCAAAAACAGCAAGCAACTACTTCCGCTACTCTGTCATCTTAAGCCGCTTTGTTTTTACTCCTACTGCACTTGCCATCACCTGACATATTACATATTTATTTAATTATTGTCAGTTTCTCCCTATTGAATTTATGTTGCATGAGGGCAAGTCCTTTGTTTTATTCACTGCTGTATCCCCAGAACTTAGAACAGTGCCTAGCACATACTGGTACTCAATAAACACTTGCTGACTACCGAATAAAGAAAGGCTCAAAATTTAGGAAAATTAAACAAATTAAAGACAATGTGAATAAGAGTAATTCTGAGAAGAAATAATTCCTTTGGCATATGTGATAGGCTGAATACAGGGAAATTCTGAGCAACCAATAAACTCATGAAAATGGGTGGCTGTGAATGCAGGCTGTGTCCCCAGCCACAGCACGGTCCTGGCAAACAGGAGACACCACGGAAGTACTGACTGAGTCAGCGACCAACACCTGATCAATACAGAAGTCTGAAACGCATAAGTCAGTAAGCATTTTCTATGTACCTCTTTCAGTTTTTAATCTGTCAAGGATTTCGGTTTTGTCTGTTAAGTCAGATTTTAAGGCGGTCTCGAGCTGAGCAATCTGTACTCTCAGCTGCTGCTCCTTTAACTTCCACTGCTCTTCCTGGGCAGCACTGAAGGCACTGCAAAACACACGTGACATGCAAGGAAAGCTTGGAAATTAGCTTCACCCGAAAATAATAAAGAGAAAAGCTTTTAGTGGCACAGAGACCACTGTCATCATGTCTTAGGAATTAAGTAAACATATGCTGGTCTGCTGCTGTTGAAACCAAGGCGCCTTTCGCAGGCTGCGGTTAGGGAACATGAAAGAGTTTGTGGGATGAGCAAAGGAACTGGCCTTAATTTAGAGCTCTAAAGTCAGAAAAGTTGGCAGTGTGCAGCTTTTGTGGGACTAGTAAAGGAATTCAGATACTGTACATACTCCAGAGGAATCCACAATCCCAAACCTCAGCAATCGACATCGGACAAAACCACTCTCTCCCACATACAAACCCTCGTATTACAAGAAAAGGGACTCTCCACCTGATCTTTAATTCTAGAATCTGAAACTTTTAAAGAGTCTGTGATGATAACATATTCACAAAATGATAGCATTTTGAACTACAAGATGGCAGTTTGATATTAAGAAGTGGCGATAATGTGGTATTTGTCCTAAAAAACAAAGAGCAATTGGCTAAGAACATTTTACTTGTAACACACGATTGGGATGAAGACCCAATAAGACAACCCTGATAAAAATGACGAAGTAGAATTTTTATTCTGCAATAAAAGTGTAGCAGGTTAAACTATAGTTAAATTCTACCATGACCCAGCATATTGGAAGAACCAGTTGAAAAATAACTAAAGGGTACGCAGAAGGTATACACTAAACATTCATTTAGGCCAGCGACTGACAAATACTGGCCTAAACTAGACACTGGTGTTAGACCAGCTGCACGAACAACACTTAGGACATTTAAAAATGAAGATGCTGGGGCCCAGGAATTCGGAGTTTTATAAAGCTCTCCAGGTGACAGCCAGGTTTCAGAAAAGCTGATCTTGGTCTGTATTTCAGCAGAAAACTATCATCTGTGAAGCCTGATATGACTGAATAATTATCGCAGCTCTGACCCTTCTACTTATTTTAAACCCAGTAAATGAAACAAAAATTTGTAAAATCTGGCTTTGTACTGATGATAAAGCAAATGGAAAAGAAACTTGTTACTGAAAATTGCCCTTAAGGCTGTTCCCAGTTAGTCCTGAGGTTAGTCCAAAAGAGAGACTTTTCTGGGAGGCATAGTTTCAAAAGAACAAAACTGTGTATTCATTTTACATTTTGAGTGTTTTTATTGCATTTAAAGTAACATGACCTTAAAAATAAATGGAATTCTAGAAGTTTCTCTAAATATGACATCTGTTTCTTTATCAATGGTCTCATTTCACCAATATTTTAAATTAATTTTATCAAAAGTACAAATACCTAAATGGAATCCAAATAAAATATATACTTTAAATGCTAAAGCAAAAAATATTCCTTTATACTTTGATTTTTAGATAAAGAACAAATACAATTTCTGTGTCTGGTCAAATTATATATACCAAACACATACATATATATGCACGTGAGTGTGTATGTATGTGTTTGCATGTGTCTTGTATTATTAAAAACATGTACTACCCGGAAAAAAATTAGCATGATGAAATAGGCACAACTATACATTCTATCAGATGCCAAAAATTAGAAACAGTAGTGTTCCAATAGTATTAGTACCAGCAAAGAGATCACCAACAGTTAATCTGGCAGAAACATCAGAAGCTGTATGTGTTTAAATTAAGAACAATTTAGCAGCCTGGTTTTTCCAAACCCACAAAATACTAGTGTAAATCAGCATAAGTCAATCTGAATTTAGTCCATGGCTATCTTCCCTCTAAATTTAGGATTACATTCCACTGGAGTTTCATGAGGAATTCCTTTTGAATTTACTGTATTCCTCTATGCTTGGAGCCATCTGTGTAACTATAAATGGTGAACCACATCTGGCTCCATTTTCTTTGTAAAGGCTGTGCACATGATTAAATCTGCATAGGAGAACAGTCTTTGAGAAAGTTTTATTCATGAAAATGTTTCTGTACATTGCCTACAGTGACAACTGAGGGGGGATCATAGTTGGTCTCTGCACACATTTCATTGTTACACAATGTCGCAGGAGTGATAAAATGTCAATCTGCAGTGGAAGGCTCACTGGTGCCTGTGGTCACTGGCATGTCCATTAGCAGTCATGGGTCAGCGTACTGTAAATACACACCCTTGATCAACAACATGATAAGACTGAAATAAGAGCTGAAGAATTCCTCTCCACCCTAAGGTCTTTTTTCTTACAGAAGAAATTCCATTTATTCCAACATTCAAGGGTTTCCTAACGTTAAAGACAGGGAAGAATAAGCTCTAAATCATCCATAAAGAAATTCATAGGTACTTTAGTGAGGGCCTAATAGAAATGAAACACATACTTCCATTGGGATATTTCCCTTACTGAAGGAAAAATGGTGCCCCAAATGTACTGGGACCGATTTCTGGGAGGCACAAAGTGCTCAGATTTGATCACATGAGCTTCCGTGACACCGAGAAGACTGCAGGGGACAGGTGCTCACTTTACAGAAATGCAGCACAGAGTCCACGGGCGGTCAGCAGCGCTCCTTTACATTTTGAATATTAGATGACTAGCACGTTGTAAAAACTTGATTTACCCAACTCTTAAAATGGTTAATATCATCTTCAAAAACTAGACCAATGGATTTTTCTAAAAAAGCAGGCATTGGATTAGTGTCTCTCAGGGAGTTAGTATCTTAAAATTACCGTTAACAGATTCTCAATTGGATCCAATCTCAATTGGCTGAATTCATTGCATGGTGGTGGGGCGTGGGGAGGAGGGCAGGTGGGCAGGCTCCAAAGGGGTGGTGGCACCTGCCTTTTGCTGTTTTCCAGGTTATTCACAGACATTACAGTGGAAGGACTACTGCATTCACCAGTTATATCACCCTGCAACTAGACCAACTGCAAAAATGGGACACAGCTTTCCTACATTATAGTATAGATCTTCTCTCTGACCAGGTAGAGAGATTTAATTGCAGAAAATGTATTCTGAATTTTTAAATTGAACATTTCTTAAAGTTATACTTATTTCTTGGCATTGTATAAAAAAAAATTTAGCATATTAAAAAAGGCTCATACCAAATACTAACATGAGGGTTTTATCTTACCAGATGATTCTCTAATATGTCATATGTCAAGTAATAAACACATTCAAAATTTCATTTGAAAAAGGAAGATGAGAATGCAATCTGCAAATCATATTTTTCTCCTGAAAATGAGCCAATTCTGAATAACAAACAAATGCTCTCCTTTTAAAAACATGCTATCACTATGACTAACCAAATGGAGTATATGCAGTTTTTGATGAGCATTAGTTGTTGGCAATGATGAATAACAGTGCAATGAAACACAAGAGCTGTAAAGGATCTTACGGGCGATGCGGATTTTCGTAGAGTTTCTCCAACTATGCTTCTGAAAACATATTATATATTTAAAAAAATTGTATTAGAGAATTTTATAGTTCTATTTACTACCATGTGCGCTTGCTGGATTTTGTGCCTAAGTGACATTAATTTTTTTCTGACACAAAATGTTTTGACATTCATTACACACATTTACTTCAATACACCTCACACAAAATTCAAGGGTAAGCAGCATAATCAAGTCTGTTTTTAACGTGACAGGAGAAAAATGTAGCTCAAGCATAAAACACTAAAAAAAAAAGCCCTTCAAAGTCAGATTTCCACTCTTAGATCATCTTCTAATATGGAAAGATAAAGTTTCATGGTGATACAGTAAATATGAGAAAAACATGTCTTTCTCAAAATTCCATTTATGCATTATTCGCAGCTAAGTTTAATGATTTTTATTCCAAGAAAGTATGCTCAGTAAATCCTCAAATTGAAGGGAAGTAGAAAATGTATAAGTAATGGCCAAATGGCACTTATTTTCTTGTATTAAGACTATGTTAAATTATGTGAAATTACAAGACCTTCAAGATAAATATAAATCAATAAAAATTTCTGAATGTATGACACTCCCATTATTCCATGAATGTTTCCTTTTCACATATAACATTCCCAATACAATTAAAGTCAGAGAGAGTGAAGCACAGGGGAAGAAATTCAAGTTTTAGAGTTAAAAGAATTGGGTTTTAGTCCTGTCCTGGAGTCTCAGGAAGGCCGTGTGACTCTGTACGAGTGTCTTCAGTTTTCCCGAGTCTCAAGTCCCTCATTTATAAAATATGGGGATAACATTATTTTCTCTGCCATACAATATGGTGGTTGTGTGATCTATATACTGAAATTTAAATTTTTCTAACACATAACTACCGAATACTTAGATATATATCAATATAAACCTATGTACTGTTCTATACAGATGGAAATATAAAACAGGAGATATAATAAATGCTTTAGATAAAATTAATCAGGGCTAATGAGAGAAGACTAGAAGAAACCCCTAGAGCCAAATGATCTGGAAGGGGGTCCAAGACAAATCCTACATAAAGATTTTTAGCCAGTTTATCTTGCTGCAGAGCCCCAGATACGATTTTAACTGATGTCTGAACCTACTATTAGTAACCCTTAATATAATGAGCCACTGTGCAAGGATCATCAACACCAGGAGGTAAACAACATAGATAATACACACCACTGGAACGATGCCCAACATTAATTCAAGTATCTTTTCAAAGTAAACCAAAATAATAAGCGTATGCCCACACTCTTTAGGTACAATTTGTTTACCAAATGTCAATTTAGTCTAAAATATACAAAACATAAGGCATACAGTTAAAAAGTTAAACTTATATTTGTAGATCAGTTGGCTATTTTCTGATGTTTGAGAATATCATCATTAGAAGCAATTGTTGACTATCAGCTGCAACATATATATTTCAATATATTTCAATTTACTTTCATGTAAACCTGTGTCATTTATCAGTCTCATATCCTGAAAAGGCTTAAAAATACACACACACAGATATCTGTATCACTTGTCTAAACTTAGCTGTGGAGTAGAAGTTTGCTTCTAACATTATCAGAAGGGATTAATTTTTTAAAATACCACAGTTATGCAGGAGATTAAAAAATAAAATTGAAGCAGCTCTTTAAAATTCATCTTGAGCTAGGATGCTGTGTTTCTCTTTATAAGGAACGGAGACGTCTGTAAGTGAACACCTCTGCTTCCCGCCAACAGCAGCACTCTCAGCCAGCAGGCTGGGTAGCCCAGTGGAAGCTAAAGGGCTTGGAGAGACCAAAGAGGCTCACATGCGAGCTCCATTACTCGATGGCCTTAAGAATGCAGGCAAGATACTTAATTCTGGTTTATTTTCATTGTCTGCAAAATAGGCTTTTATAATACCTACATTCCCAGGTTGTTGTGAGGAGTTTATAATAATGTATGTAGAATGTTTAGCACAGGACCTGCCAGCTTTTAGTTTGTGTTCAATAAATGATAGCAGTTGTTACTGGCAACAAAGTGATATAGTTTTTTCAGTAACAAGCTACCACTCAGGTTAACGAACTTATAACCAATGCCTAAAAAAAGCTTATTTTTCTTTTATAACATATATATATATTTCTTACAACCATCTGTTGCTAATTCTTTAATCAATATTAGATATGCTGACATCCAATGCTTTGATATAAAAGACCTCAAACAAGAGAGTGAGAGAACACATGGAATCATGATTTACCTGTTATAAAGTTTATCATAGTTTTCCTTTAAAAGTTCCCGTTCCTTTTCTAAATCATTAATTCTATCCTGCAGCTAAAATGAAAGGAAAATTACACATTAGGTGATTATCATATAAAATCTCTTGGAGGTAAAAAAAAAAAAAACATGAGAGGAGGCTAACATGTTTCACTCTTGATTTCTAAATTGCAGCTGCTAACTAGCCCACTTACAGTGTCTATTTTTTTTTTTTTTTCTGCTGAGGAAGGTATTTGCCCTGAGCTAACATCTGTTGCCAATCTTCCTCTTTTTCTTTTTTTTTTTTTTTGCTGGAGGAAGATTAGCCCTGAGCTAACATCTGTGTCAATCTTCCTCCACATTAAATGTGGTTCACTGCCACAGCATGGCTGATGAGTGGTGTAGGTCTGTGCCCGAGATGTGAACCTGCGAATCCCAGCCACTGAAGTGCAGTGCCCCAAACCCAATCACTACCCGACAGGGTCGGTCCCATTACACTTTCTGTACTTAATTTAGCATTGATGTCTTCCAAGTTGTTAAGTAAACATGAATTAATATTTCTGTTTTAATTTAGTAGAAACGTATGGACTGCTTTATGGGCAACATGTGCCAAAACTCAATAAAGAATGTGTTAAAAGCTTGCTGTTAAGTCTGGGGAAACATAGTATTTTTCACGTTCCTCCCTGATGATTACACCGTTACATTCATTTTGTACTAATTTCCAATTGGTCCACAAAAAAATAAAAGGATTGACTTTTCTCTCAGCTCATGGTTCAAGCACATTGTGTCAATCACTATTTACTCTGAAGATACAATTTCTCATGTTACTTGATATTTATAAAAAGCCAGTAGCACATCCTGTAAATAAATGAATAAATAAAATTGTATACTTTGTTTTATCCCACAGAAAAATACTTTTAGAAATAAATTCATGGAAATAATTATATCTATATGACTAAAATGTAGTTTTCTGAATTTATTTCTAGTATTTATGTTTAAGTTTTATTCACCAGTATGTTTTGTAGTTACAACCTTTTCCCACGAATCAGAGTACTCTTAAAATTCATTTCCATTCTCAAAATTCTCTTTTGATGCTAATATGAGACACAATAAAAGATTCTCCTAAGATCAGAACAGAAAGTAAGCATCTTATTTCATTTCCGTTCTCTTTAAGAACAAGTTTAACAGACTACAGGAAAAGATTGTGCTAGCTAGGAGACATGAGTAGCAAGAATAATAGGAGGATGAATTTTCAAACAATTTCTCAGAAAAAAAAAATTAAATAATTTCACGAAATTGCTGATGTTGCAGAACAGAACATCTTTCTTCTCAAAAACAGATACGCTCCTATAACTTGTTTTGGTGTCTTAAATCACTAATAAGATCTTAAGGGTAAGAGAGTTAAATTACACAGGTAATCTGGCATCAGTTTCAAAATGTTATGCTTTCTTTTTCCTCAAGGTTATCCGAATTCTTTAGGTAAACTGTGGATCTCAGCACATTTGCAACTATTTTTAAGCAGTGATTTCCCACACACATAATATACTGACTATATTTTGCTGTGCTCAAAGTACCACGCATGTAGTTTAGAATTTTTAAATAAACATAATATTTGAAATGTCTCTATTTTGCTTTTTCAACACAGTGACAGAGAAGTTTTAATGCAAGGAATGGCTAAACTCTGGGATCTTACCTCTTCTATTCTTCTTTCGGAAAATGTCATGGAATGTAATTGTTTCTCTAAACTGCAACATTTTAAACGCTGCTCTTTAAGCTGCATATTTAGCTCGTCTCCATTTGCCATCAACGCATCATGGCTGATCCTGAGAGTTCTTTGCTTCTAAAAAACAAAAAGATAATCTTTTCAAAGTTATTTTTTGGATTCTGCTTTGAATAAATGATCACAATTTTATAAATGAATTTACTCCTGAAGTTCAGGTTAAACAGCTTATTCTTCACCTCACAACGTATACGTGCTACTTGTCCATAAGGGACACACTTGACCTAAGTGTATCATGAGGAAGAAAACACAGGGCTGTCTTAGCACAGAGTCACATAACGTAAGCCGTTTTTGTTCTTTATTTTCTCTTAGTTTTTGACTTGTTGAAGTGACCAGGGAACAAATTCGTTTTAGCAATTAACTTTTTTCTTTCTGCTGTGGTTACAGTGGTTGAACATGCTAAGAGTGATGTTGCATGGGTCAAAAATAAATGCTGACCACAGATATTCAAACTGAAAGGATCTGTCACCATACCTCAAGAACAGCCTTGGAATGTTAGCTTCTAATTTTAACACAATTAAGATTTTCAACTTAGTAAAATAGTTACTAAAGTCTTCCTAAGTTTTAAAATGGCCCATTTATGAATATGTTTTAAATTGAATTTTATACACTTAAATGCCACACACTTCTTTTATAAATAAAAAAAGGTGATTAGACTATAGTCTTTTCATGGAAACCATATGACCATAGCATGTAACGCCGCATCTGCTAATTAAAATCACTTAAGTTCGACTGCAGTGCTTCTTCAGTCCTTTAGAAGAAACATGGCTACTGAGCTCCTTGAGCCCAGTTTTTGCTAATCTTGATATTACTATAGAAGGCTATCTCTAACCTGCTTTCTCTGGGCTTTCTACCTCATTGAAGGTGTCGGTCTGAACCTCTCAAATCTCTACCCAGTGTCAATCCTCAAAAGAGGTAACTGTGCTATATCGCAGACTTCTTACTGCTAGTATTTAAACAAATACCTGGCATCACTGTTAAATGGAAATCAGAATAGTCAAAGTGATAAAAAATGTAAAATCACTTTTTAATTTCTTTCATAATTCATTTTAGAAATGGCTTTCAACACACGTATTTTTAATCTGCCTCTTCTATCTATTTGCAGATAGCAATATTATTTTCACTCTCTAATTAGCCTCCTCTCTTTCATAAACTCTTATTTATATGGAAGGCAATTATTACTTGACATTTAAAGAGGTTCCTGCAGGATGGAAAACATTACCCAGAATATGGGTGAAAAATGTTTATCTAATTCAATAATAAATTTAGGCTTCAGATGACCCTATGCTTTGCATCAATTTACTGCTTTCCTTGTCCCAGTACTTCAAAGGAAGTACTGCTGAATATGAATTTTGCTCATCTGGAATGTTTTGGAGTTCATTAATTCCAGAACCTATGTTAATTATGCAGTGCCAATAAACAGGAGCCCTCTGATGGCACATTTCTGTGGGGCCATAGTCCTTGTTAAAACAACCATGGGGAAGAAGAGCCCCAAGTATGTCAACCTGAATGATTAAGATTTAAAATAAATACACTGATAGGTGACATGATAGGTACTCAAATACGTTCTGATAATAGTAGTGACAAAACAAAACAAAACATCAAAGAAAGATTTACCCCAATCTGATTACTGACCTATTCATAACTTTGACCTATCTTGGGGAGCTGAAGATACATGCAAATACATCTAAATCTTCAGTGCTGTGAGTGCATATGAATTCAGACAAAAGGAGTTAAAAATAAATGTTCTTGGCATGAGATGACTTATGATAAACGTCTTTACTATTTTAAGATGACACAGATATTTACAAATAGTCCAAGCAGTTAGTTATTCCTTTAGTTATTAAGTTATAAACAAACAGTAAATGAAAGTAAAATTATATACACTTGAGAATAAAGAGAGCAATCTTTAAAAACTTTTTCGTATCACAACCATTCTAAAGGCAACCTGAACACTACTATTGAACTTCTGTATCTATGTATTACCATAATAAAATAAATGATCACAGTACCTCCTGAAGCTGAACAAACTTTCCTTCCATTACTGAGAGAGCATTGCTTTTCTCCACTAGTTGCTTATGTAGCTTAATCATTTCTACGTTGTCCCGAATGTTTGACCTTGAACGACGTGTTTAAGAAAAAGAGAGACAGTGAAAAAATGCAAGGTAAAAGAAAAAAATCTGTGGTACAATCACAATTTTTCATTGAATGCTATCTAGAAAAAATGTACATATTTGCATATCAATCACTGAGGTTTTCAGTTTATTATGCACTTAGGAAAGATTTATTATTTAACACCAACAACACTCATTCTTGAACTTTCATAAAAACTCAGGCTTTCAGAGTTTGAAGGGAGCCCCAGATGTGACGACTTGTCTCACATCCACAATAAGTGACTGAGGGAGTGAAATCATTTTGCAGTTTCCTGAAAGCGCAAAAGGACATCAGTCTGTAGCACAGAAATCGTTCCACTACCAAACTCCAGACTCATTTTAAGGAGGACGACCATACAACTTTTCCCTAAATGAAAAATATGCAATACAGCCACTCATCTTCTCACCGCTCCCTCAAAATAAATGGTATCATAAGATTACCATTTATTGGCGTTTCCTCCTGGAGTTTAAACTTTTCAAAATATTTCCAAAAAAAGTGACCTAGCATTTTCTACTAATAATGCCCAAAGCTGGCATCTAAATATGTTGCAGATGTGCCTTTTGCTGTAAGAGATCATTTAACGTCCACAGGGTATACAGAAACTCTATATCCTACAATACTAGTTTGTATTTTTTCCTACTGAGATTAAAGCAAATGTAGAATTTAACAGGAAGATCTTGTTAAATGTTAATCATAGATCTAAATGAATACCTGTTTTCAAAAGGCATTTATTTTCCTGACAGAGTTCCTTAATTAAATAGGTTTTGCATTCAAAAGTATTTCAAAAATTGTGAAGCTCGGTATTAGACTTCATTTTTTTAAGAAAAATAAATCTGAAAATTTTAAATTCAGAAAATTATTTCAGTATTTAAAGTAAGTAATTTTACTTCCAAAACTGATCTAGCGTACACATATTGGAAAAATTGTCACAATGCCCTACTGGAACCAGAAAATGGACTACAAAGCTCACACATCTGTAAGCCAGCTGAGGACTTGAAATACTTAATTTTTCTCTTTGCTATTTGCAAGTTCATTGCATTTTGGCTTTGGACAGTTAGTTGTCCTCACACAGAAGATAAACAAGTCTAAGTCCCTGGATCTGGCCCAGGGTACAGTCTTAACACAATGTTAAAATAATTATGTGTCTAAAGCATGTTATCTAGTAGTTCTGAGCACACGGCCAACAGCACACTCACTATTATTCCCCTTAGTATTATCTTTACTCACTAAAACAAACCATAATAGGAAGGGAAAAATATATTTGAACTAGATCTAAAGAAAATATTCACAATTTTCTTCATATTTAGAAGTCAAAATATAATTTATCTGTTTTCCTCAAAATTACTCGGTTTGACCACTCAATAGCGAGCGGCATTTATTGATATGGAAGGACAGAGTACTACTCAAATAATTTCAAATCTTTCTTATATTTTCACTTACACCTGATATTCTATTGTCTTTTTTTAAAGTATGCTAATATTTCCAAGAAGATACATATATATCTTATATATAGCAGATATATTTTAAAATAACTATTATTTAGTAACGTTAACAAAGAATTAAGCCCCAATAATCCATTCAGCCATAGAGGGGTCATAGAAATAACAGGTTTCAGTTTTGAATTTTCTGTGTGAGGCAGAGAACAGTGAGTATCTTTCTGAAACTTTCAGTGGTTTATGCTTTCTTGAATATTTTCCTAAACTCCTTGGAGTTTAAACTTTTCAAAATATTGCCAAGAAAAGTAACTTACTATTTTATACCAATATATATAATATTTAAAAAATAGTTTTTTGTAATTTTATACTAATAAATATAATAATTCATTATATACATAAAATAATAATGCCCAACAAGTGGGCACAAATACAACATAAATAGTACTTAGAAAACAGCAATAATAATGTGGTACTTTATTTTTTAAAGGATTTTATTTTTCCTTTTCCTCCCCAAAGCCCCCTGGTACATACTTGTATATTTTTAGTTGTGGGTCCTTCTAGTTGTGGCATGTGGGATGCTGCCTCAGCGTGGCCTGATGAGCGGTGCCATGTCTGTGCCCAGGATCTGAACTGGCAAAACCCTGGGCCACTGCAGTGGAGCTCGTGAACTTAACCACTCGGCCACAGGGCCAGCCCCTAATGTGGTACTTTAAATGTCAGTTTGCCAGAGAGTACACCTATTATTGGACAATGCAACATCTCCAAGTCGTTAATAATTATTTTTTAAGTGTCAGTTTTAGGGGCTATATACATAATAGTCGTTATTATGATTGGATATTTTTGAGGGTAACAATGAGAAGGAAAGGACGACATGCTGTTAAGCTGAAAATGTTGAGTCACTAATATAAAGTACATAAAAGTTAAAATCAACAACGTGATGAATGTGGTCTGGCCTCTAGGAAAGCATACAATGAAAAATCATCTCAAACTCGACAATCAACTCAAGATTTTTACATAGCTGAAGTATTGTAAAAGAATAAAGGCGGAAGTGAGAGAGAGAAAAGGGAAGGAGATGTCACAAAAAGCTAACAAAGAATGTGAGAAGGATGTTGAAGGCAAGAGGGAGCTAGAGTCATTGCTAAGTGGCCTGTCCAAGATCTCCATGCACGTGGAGGAAGGCCTCAGGTTGGTTTCCTTTGAAGAACAGAGACAGGGCTAATTTTAGGTGACTCCCATATAATATTTTCTTGCCTTGTTCCATGCACTATGATGGGAACATCAAATCTTTAAGATGATGACATTCTAACACAAAGAACAATGCATAGTGAAAACATTCACATGAACGCTGACGGTTGGTCACCCACCAATTCATATATGCTGCACTACACAAGGTGAAAGGATGTACAAACAGACATCACACATACTAATTAAGTGCTTTGTAATAATAAATTTCTCAAATTTTTCAACAAGGATTTTGAAAAAACTACCAACAATTCAGTTGGAAACCGCAGTTTCTTTCTCTTTTTTTTACAGACATATTTAGAATTATGATCAAATCTTCTAAAACTATGAAAAGAATTGTTGGCCATCTCTAGATTAAAAACAAACTCAAATAAATTAGATTTTATGTTGAAAAAAGTAATCCAACTCAACAAGCTATGTGCCAAGTTTCTCTCATATAATTTGAAACAGTCAAGCAATAAACTCTGAAAACGCAATTTCTAATGGAAGCCTTGAAAATACTTGACTCCAGCTTTGCTACTGGGTGCCATAATAAATCCAGAAACTTAAAACCTCAGATATACCGGAGAAGGAAAAACTTTCAGTGAAGCTCTGTAATGTACGGTCTAATAGGAAAGCTTAGAAGCAAACAGTTCTGCTCCAGGGAAAGTCTCTTATACTTCATTCCCCAGACACACAACTGCCTCACCCGCCACTTGCTCCAACCTCCATCGACATTTCGTTCTTTGCTACAGTAAGGATTACAAACGTTAAAAAATGCATAAGATGTTATACTACTTACCACTATTTACAAGGGAAGGCTTTAGAATTACAGATGCTAGGCTATGAGATTCTGGGAAGTAGTTAGGTAAAATATTTGAGATAGAACGGAGAGGCTCTTTTTGAGCAATAGTTTCAGGCTGACTAAATTTGGGAGATAAGGTTGAAGGCAACGTTAGGACTAAAAGCAACTCTACGGTTTTTTTTTTTTAAACGGTGGCAGACATTCTGTAAGTGTACTGTTGAAAGACACGTAGGTCAATCATAGCTCTTATTAGGGATACACAGATAATAATCACTAGCAAGGTACTACTTCTGAACAGGATTACGGAAGGTTGCTAGTAAATTAAAGGGCATAAGGTTCACAAAAATAGCTGAGGAAAGTCTATTTGAAAGGTAATGGTTTTGCTCAAAGCTGCTACTTGAGTTCATAGGTGAAAACAATGCTCCCTGATTTAAGATTGCATAAAGGAAAAAATTTGTCTGTGTATGTTTATTTGCTTCTGGATCATATCTTTCTAGTGATGCTGGGTCAAAATGTAAATCAGAACTCAGTATTTTCTTACTCTCAACATCCACAAGTAATGGAGGGGACAGCTATGTCGCGCTCTCTACATGCATATAATCAGTCTTATGAAAGTGGAGGGAGCGCTCTCAAGAACTGGTTGGGGAGAGAACGAACCCAAATCCTGGCTCATCACCTCAAGGGGACTATTTTGAGGATCAAGTTTAACTGATTTCAACTAGTAATGAGTAATCTGAGAATTACGTTCAATATATCAAAAACCTCAATGGGAAGTGTAGATTTACTGGCAATTAAGTTGCAAAAGTGAACTAAAGGTTTTGTATTGTTTTTAACTAGTCAGTGTAATGATACAGGTTATTTCACAACTATCAGAAGCAATGATTGGCATGATATAAGTCTTTGATGAATTAAAAAGGGGAATAAATTAATAAATATTGCTTATTTAGTAGACAAAATCTTCCAGAAAGAGTCCTTACTGATAAAAGTGGCTGTTGTTTAAAAGGTAGGGAAGCACATACCCATTTCAGTCTCTTCATTTCACAGTTGAGGTGGCTACCTGAGGCTCAGAGAAGTAAAGAACTTGGCCAGAGTCCTTCCCTGAGGGAGCTGACACTCAAACCCAGTTCTAAGAGAGAAATTCTTCCCATTCTCCTAAGTTGCTTCCTTCCTCTGAGATGGTCCTAAGTTTCAGCTTTGCCTCCACTCTCACGCATGCACTAATACACTAGTTACTATGCATGGTGACAATTTCTGTGACTTATATAAAGTGCTGGGAAAATGACATGCTGCTATCACGGAAAAACCTTAGATACAATTAACAACAAAAAACGCAAGGATAAAAGAAATGGTATTTGAGTGTGATACTTTTCATTGGGCAAATTCTAAGGTATTCAAAATAACAGCTAAGAGCTTGGTGAACATATTTTCAAAAGAAAGCAGATCACCTCCCTGTGCAATAGAATAATGTTCGCACGGTTATCCCCAGCCTGTTACCCTCCATC